TTAATTTTATTTTTTCGGATTAGGTTAGGCTGAATTTATAGAACAACAAAACATTCAGGTTGGTCCACGTGTTGACATTTTTTTTGTTGGGTCAACTAAAGCAACTTGAAAATAGGGTTATAACCTTATCCAACACTACCCTACTTTTAAGATTATTACAAAAATACAAAAATATTTAACCTTAAAATTAATGTTACTAATGAATTTGATATTTGAGTAAGGTTTTAGTTATAAATGTAATACGTATTGTCGGTAAATAATAATAATAAAAAACAACCCGATAACTCTACTCGAAAATAGAGAGCTATGTTAGATTGGATTGTGAACTTTATTTATATGGTTCGAGTCACTTAACCAATTCAAAATTTTAAATTGATCCAAAAGATATCTTCAATTCAAAATGTGTACGCGTAGTTCTTATTAATACCTTACCATATATATGTTTGGTCGTTGCTTGATAAAAGTCCTTCAGTTTTGAATTTTTATTGTAATTACTCTAAAGAAATGGACAAAACGTTTGTTACTATTTGCATGCGTTATTATTAGCTTACCATATAATTATTACTTTATGTTATTTTTAATTCCTTTATTTAATTATCAGTGTAATTAAAGTTTTATTCTTTATTTAATATTTTCTTTAGTACAGACAAAAATGAGATTTGACCATATGGTATTTGATCTGTGTTTTATGCTTGCAATCAAACAAAACTAATTATCACTTAAAAGCTAATCAATGGTCAAATCTGACCCGAAAGGTTATGAACTTATTTGAATTGGGTTGTGTCGGGTTCAAATAAATTAAAACTTTCGTTGGATTGGTTCATGGTTTTTTATAAAATTAGATTGGATTGAATTGAACTAAGGGTTTTTACTTACGATATGTGCAATGTCTCTAGATTTCTACTTAACCTAAAGTCGTTATCGTCTTTATAACTTATGTTCTTATGCAGAATTAAACATTTAAAATTTTATCATAAAACATTGTTATGGACCTACGTGTTCGAAAACATTTTTAAAACAACATAATGAAATACTACATGAAATAAATAACCTAAAGTAAAAACACTCTATCCTAACCTAAAGTCTAAGAAATAAAATACTACTATCCTACGCATGTGTCATGATCTTGACTTACGATGCCGGTGTCACCCATACATGGATGTCTTGCCTTTAATATGAAATAAAAGTAGTACACTGCTGAAATATTTTAAGAAACACTCAGTAAGTGACTCCACTATTGGGGTCAGTGAAGGCAAATGCATGCAACTCATGACTAGGGACCTTTCGTTAAAAACCACCATAAAGGTGGCTTCTAGTCTGGAAAAAATTGGATGTGTAGTACTTTCCTACACACGACCCACACGTGCGAGTGTGAGTCTCCAGGTGGTTTGTACTCCCCTTGGACTCATCACAGTTGAGCTAGTTGTCTGTAGCGACGTCCGGAGGACATTAGATCCCCGAGTATCATGCGAGTCATGATCATTATCATCATAATAGTGTACGCGTACGTACTCATCATCATAAATGGAGAAGTTATCCGATGTATATGTACACACAAAATGCTTGAGATCATATTTTTATCTTTAAATCATCTTTATGACGCAACCCTATCCCCATCCACATATTATTCTAAGTAACATGCATGCATTTACCTTTCTACGATCATCATCATTAATATTATCTAGGGTTATGTCTTAGAAAATCATTGTTATAATGCCTCATGACATTTAATACATGTACATCATCTTAATATCGAATAACGTCATATTAAGTCATCACATCATCATACATCTTACATCGTCATGTTATCATGCATCATCATCATCATTTCTTAAAGCTTTGAAGGAGGGGGTTGACCTTCACTATAAAAGGAAGGTCCCTCACTTCATTTTAGCATACCACTTGAACAGTTCAATCCAGTCGGAGAATACATTTTCTGACGGTTGAATGCCAACATTTTGATTTATTTGACTTGGGATATGCTTAAACCCTTTCCTCCTTGTTTCAATTTTTCGTAAGCTTTTAAAGTTAGCATGACTATCTTTTAGCTCGTTTAAATTATTTTATGCAAAATTAGAGTTAGCTAGTTTAAGTTATTAGGAGTAAGTTTAAACTATTTTATGCAAAATTGGGCTTAGCTAGTTTAAGTTATTAAAAGTAAGTTTAAACTATTTTATGCAAAACTAGGTGAGCCAATTCTCATAGTAGAATTCTAATTTATGCTGTTGGACTCGAATTAAATTTCAGAGAGCAATATTAAGCTAGCATCAAAGGTTGTAGTAACTACGACCTAGGCCAACAAAGTAAGTGACTTTACTATCGGATCGGTCAGAAGACTTGTTTTATTATAATGACACGTGCCCAGTGGCTCTTACACGTGTCATTTATGCTTTATATTATATGACGATGTGATAATGTTATATGATGATGTGATGACGTTATATGATGATGTGCTGACGTTATGTGATGTGATGACGTTAGATAATAATGTGATGATGTTATATGATGACTTTCTGATGTTATATATATATATATTAGATATATTAAAATAGAAAAATGTATTTATTGTATTTGATATATTAAATATTAGGACAATTAATGTATTTAGAGACCCTAAATAAATAAAAAATATATATATTATAACATTTAAATCCATATTAAACCCTAATATATTAGAGGTTTAAATATATTATTTGACAAAGATGATTCAATAGTTTCTAATATTCTCTCTTTCTCGGGTTGAGAATTCTTTTGAAATTCTCCTTCTCTAATCCCTTTGTGATTTCTTTTAAGAGACACCTACAAGATTTTGCCGTGTGTTTAAGTCATGGTAGAAAAAATCTTGTTGAATGTGGTTAGGCTCCCACAAGCCTGGACCTTGTGTTCAAATCATACCAAGTAAGATATCGTGGAATGTGAAGAACTTCTGTATGGTTGGAATCCATCGAGGAAGTTTGCAAGTTGCAATTTCTATAAAGGTGGAGTTCTTATTCTCATATTAATTTTTAATAAAACTAAAATTGTTTACAATGCTTCGGATGAAGAGTTCATTCTCTCATTTGTCATTTTGCATTAGCACACATCCTAAACCCTTCTCCATTACATCACTATATGCCACAAAGTTTCTGAAACCATCTAGAACTGTGATCACGGTTATTGTCGGTTATTGTCGGTTATTGTTCCTTGAGCTCCTTCCCGGTCAACTAGGCCAATGTTGCAAGGATCTTTGAGAAATATCAAATGAACCTCTTGTGGTTGGGGCCAAATCATCACTACCTCTACTTTCACTAGATCCACGAATATACCCTACCCCAACATGACGTATCTAAGGAAAGTCATCTCCGGAAGCTAAAACTTGCACTTCAAGAACTTAACATATAATAGATGCGCTCTTAGCATAAAAAGTTCTTATCATGTGTATTCTATGTCTGCTGAACAATATCACGAACGTGTTGAGAAAGTCCTTGAACACCATGTTCATCAATTCCATAAATATTGTGAGTATTAGTCAATCTAAAGAGCATTATCGAAAAGTAATAAAACTTATATTTGTTTTTGAATGTGGTCTCGGGTATATCTTCCTCTATGATCCTCAACCGATGATACCTAGATCACAAGTATTATGAATATTGAAGCTCCTTGTAACTAATCAAATAGGTCATTGTTAGCTGGCAATAGATACTTGTTCTTTAGTTAGGTTGTTCACTCCTCTCAAGAACAGTATTGGGCTCCTTAGGACAACATATTCAATCATACGAACCTATTATCCAATAGATTCTACAACTACTCGAGTTTCTTCAACTCGGCGTGGGACATCCTGTATGGTGCCCTCAAGATAGGGATTGTTCATGGCTCGAGCTAAATTACAAAACTATAAACATCATCAAACTCTTGCACTATGGGCACCGAGGTTACCTTTCTTTCTATGTCCCGTACATTTGTCACACTGGCTAACAGAGCCTAAGCCCTATGGTTGACTAGCTTTTTCAACTTCTAGGCTAAGATCTATTGAGATTTATGTCATAAAGCATCGTAATTAATTTAATAATAATTTTAAATATTTTGTTTACAATTTAATATTATCCATGATATGAAAAATCCAAAGTTATTAATATAATCTTGAATAGTACGTGGTTAACATACACGAGGATCATATTCAATTAATAACCTAAAGAGTCAATAGTATATGAATAAGGTTGGGTGTCTATCCTAGTAACACTATAGATACGACCTTTTTAATTGTTACAAATCATTTGATCTAAATCGCTCATGTGGAAAGATATGAGTGGGGGTATCCTATTTAATGAGTTTGTATGAGACTCGACTATGAAATATTTAATCTCTCTTTATAAATTTGTTAATTGAAAAGTTTAATATTTCAGAAGATGATCCTATGCGCCTTGATTTTAATCTTGAGTGAGTTATGAACGGGTGCATGTGAGGCTTGTCTTTTGATTTATATGGGTGAAAAGCTTTTGTAGTAGATTGAATATGCTACCATTTTAAGAACTTGACCAAATAGGAATCCGCTAAACTAATATCTCACAACATGATTTTTTAGGTTTCGAAACTTGGATGGTTACTGAAGAGAAGAAAACAAAAACAAATAAAAATAAAATAAAAGAAAATTAAATTAAAAGAAAAAAGAAGTTAGTTCTTTCAAATATTAGAAAAGGAATACAAATATAAAAGAAAAACAAAACTCAAAAAATGTAAAAATAGACTGATGCTCCAGAACCATCCCCTCTGTGATTGCACAACTCTAGAGCATTCGTTCATCTAAACCGGCAACCTGCGAACACGTGAAAAGGAAAGGAAAACATGGTTTAGTATAAAAGTTATACTCATGTAACGACCGATCTTCGAAAATATCGAATCACGGGTCGCCACGTGGACTCAAGTGCAAAAAAAAACTTTTCAATACTTCTAGTAGTTTGAACAGAAGACTAAAAGTTAAAAGTTGCCTGAGATACATTTCAAAAAAAAAAAAAAACTACAAAACACAACGAAAATCCGCGGAGTCACATAAAAAGAAACGGTTACAAAATATCACAGGTTTTTTAAAAACGTCAAAATCATAACCAAAACGACATGGGAGAAGATGACTCAATCTAAGGGCCCCCTTTTGCAGCTGCACGACTCCACACGTCCCTGCCACCTACCCAGATCTACTTTTCTCCTGAAAAATAGCAACAACACAGAATGAGTATATAAACAATACCCAGTAAGCAACTTGCTCGTAAGTTCTTGTCGAACTTAGCCCTATTCATGGGATCCTAAGTTTTGTGCTCGAATAGTCACTAGTCAGAGACCTAGTGGCGCCTGGAACATTTAATTGTTCCTAAGATCAGGAACTACCTACCACTGTGCCTCGCTAGGCCTAGTCAGTCACTACCTGTCTTACGCCTTTGTCGGCTCAGATCAGTAAAACTACCTGTCTTAGGAACAGTAACTACCTGTCACTATGCAGCTCGACTGGATTAGTAAAAAGTCATGGCTCATCCAGCTAAGCACCTCTGACGTGTTTCCACAGTAATATACTATGATTACCCTCAACCCCTTGTGGGTGACTACGAAAATGGTACACGGTCATCTATGTGCTTCATAACTTATGATAACTAGCACCTAATAAATGATCCAACTCACAAAGGATAACAATGGGCTATCCAAGCCCCACACCCAATGCCTAACAAAGAACCACGGCAACAACATGTCGCCATGCTAAGTCACGTAATAACCATCTAGCTCAACATAAAAACATAGCATCCCATACGCCTATACGAAATTTCACACTCATGCCAACGAAACTATATAACCATAATGACAATCAAAGTACAACCACACACATTATCGAAGTACCACCTTCGTGAACTAACTTTATCCATTCCTAAATACGGTACTAAATTGTTTGGCCACAAATCCAAACCAACTCCTACAAGAAATTACTTAAAAACTTGCTCTAGATGGTTACTTACCTGATTGTAGACTTCCCAAAACTTTATCAGTCTTCAAGTGTCCCCTTGATTAAGCTTGAAATTTTTCTATAATAAGGCATTATGGAATGTGTGAGTTAAGTACCTAAATCTGAATAAAGACGAATCAAATGGTGTGAAATGAAAAAAAATTGATTTTCAGTTCTCAACAGGTGGGTTGGGTCGGGTCAGGTCATGCCCCCTCAATTTTCGGCCTCTTCTTCCCACCTTCTTCTTGATCTTTCTTTCCTCTCAACACTCCATGCTTTCTTCTTCACAAGGACTCACCAACTTCCCTCGAAAATAACCTAGGTATACCGATCCAGTGAAATGTAATAGGGTTTTGGAAAATAACAACGAAAATCACACCACTAGGACTTACCGCCGACGTTCTCCCTTCCTCAACCGTTCGGCCCACCGTTGCTGACGAGCGCTTCAAGCTTTGTCGTTCATCTCCTCCGCTCTACCCTTTCCTCTGTCTTCTTTTTTTTTTTTTTTCTTCTTTCTTCTTTTCTCTCTTCCTCCCTCCCGCCTTTCTTTTCTTTTTCTTTTTCTTTCCTTTTTTTAAACCCTAAAAGAATAGTACAACTGGCCTTTCTCTCTCCTCACTTATTGCCAGCGGTACGATTCTTACAACTCAGTAAGTCACCTACTTGTTGGTTCTCATCGTGCTCTAGGTGTAACATATTCCCATGGGATTCTCATTGGCTGTATGTAGGACATCTGTAAAGTCACCTCAATGGGGGGCACGACCCCTTCCTTATCCCATCCAACTAATGGGTTGTACTACGTGAGTCTCTCGTTTCTCATGCAAAATGGCTAGGAACCGTTGAGTTTTTATTGAAAACCCCTGGTCTCCCATGAAACTATTGATATCGTTCACACAGCTTGCATCCTAAGAACAACTCTTAAGGTAGTTTGTAAGTCATGGTGGTCTGTCAGACTCATACCATAAATGTTAGGCCTAAGTTTTGTAACTAGTCAACCTAACCACATTTGCGTAATCTTAACACGGTTGTTCATTAAAATTAACTGGGTGTGCACATAATAAAAATTTAGCAACTAGTCAACCTAATCACACAAGTCCCTAAGCTTAACATGGTTGTTCATTAAAATTAACTGGGTGTGCACATAATAATGATCTAAAATCATCATACATAATTCATACAAAATGAGCACACATGCTCATCGAGGCGATAACATCCATCAAGCACTTGGAGTGCATATCACAAATTCACATCCTCCATTCAGCATATAAGACACATAATTACAATCGGGATAAAGCGTGATGGCATCAAACATAGGATTCTTTCAGATCATCACATTATGCATACATATTAATGATAACCCATTACCTAAATTCATTTCATGGAAAAACTATCCACCTAGTGTAATTTTACTAGCATGCATGCAATCCAAGCGATTCCTAAATATTTCTTCCTAAATTCTGTGTGGTGACCATGATTGACGCATGCCCTTTCGTTTAAGGTTTATTCACAAATAGGATGTGCAAAAGAAATTATTTTCTTCAATGAGATCCTAATTCACATAAAAATATAGATAGATTTGGTATCAGGATAAAAATCGAGCAAACAAAAGTCGAACAGAATGAAAAGGGGCTTACACACGTCGGTCACACGCCTTCACGCATTGAAGAAAGTTCTACTCGCAGGATTCACGCGTGAGTGCCACGCTCTGGCTGTTTTCTTTAGTCACAAGTTGTGGATCGGTTTGGGTTAGGTGATTCGGGTCACTCGGGTTGGACTGCATGTCAGCTGGTTCAATGGGCTGTGAATCAAATCTGGTCTACTAGGAGGTCACAGGTCGAATAGGGTTGCAGAGGTCGCGTGTCATCGTCAGGATGGAGTTACGTCGCTCCACACTGCACCTAATGTGTTGCTCCACGTAAGCTTCGACACGTGTCCCACGATTGTTCGACGTGTTTCTCCTCTCGTCGGTTGACACGTGGCTCGCTAGATTCATCTCTCTTCTTCTGGTAGATGAAAACCCGAATCCGATTAGTTTTTCTAATTTTTCTTATTTTCATATCTTTTAATCTCAAATTCAAATCTATTTGATTTCTTCAGCAAAGTTGTAGATTGTAATACAAACTTCGTCCTTATTTTTTTTTGAATTTTTCACAGCATCACAAACTAAGTTATGAGCATTCAAAATAGGTTTTTTAACTTTCTTACCATTGGAAAAACTACACCTTCTTACTAGAATTTTGGGTAGGTTTTTTTGCAAATACTGTGGAGAATCTTGTTAAGAAATAAACTAGAATTGGGTCAAAAAGACCCTTACAAAATTTGAGAGGGAAAAGGATATTGTTTTCAGAGAAATTCGCGGAGAGGAAATTGGTTGTTGGAAGAAAAAAAGAGTAAAAAGAGAGAGAATAGCTGAAATTATGACTGCGTTCCAAATCAACTTAGTTGAATATTATGAACAAATTTCCTATTTAAATATAAATTATCCTAAAAATGGCTGGAGAGTCATCAACTAAATCTGTGCCACTCCCTACAAAATTGACGTCTAAAATTTTGGTGATCCATTCGACATGTTTTGTCAAATGGTCAAACAGAGATATTCTGAAATCGTGTGAATAAGGAAAACTGTAAAAACTCAGGTTTTATCTAACAATCTCCTCCTAAAACCTGTAGTATATCTACCTTATTATTTGAACTCCGATCTTTGAGCGTAGTTCTTCAAATTTCACCCGCGCCAAATTTTGGTGATCCATTCGACATGTTTTGTCAAATGGTCAAACAGAGATATTCTGAAATCGTGTGAATAAGGAAAACTGTAAAAACTCAGGTTTTATCTAACAATCTCCTCCTAAAACCTGTAGTATATCTACCTTATTATTTGAACTCCGATCTTTGAGCGTAGTTCTTCAAATTTCACCCGCGCCAAGGATTTGGTGAAAATGTCTCCAAGTTGTTTCTCTGATCGGATGTAATCAATCTTGATGAGCCCTCGATCTGCACATTCTCGAATGTAATGGAATCTGATTTCTATGTGCTTGCTTCGTTCATGCAAAACTGGATTTTTTATCAGGGATTTTTGACAGCCACTAGATGCTCCTCTCTAGTAGCTAAGCACGCCGAGATCGCTCATCTCGAAGTTTTTCGACATCTCCTTCTTGAACCTTCCAAGGACTTCCACATCACCTCCGGTGATTATGAGGTCGTCGACGTACACTCCCACGATCAGTCGCTTCTTGCCATGGTCGTGCGTGTACATGCCATGCTCAGAGGCGCAACGTTTGAATTTCAGTGACAGTAAGCTACTGTCGAGCTTTCCGTTCTAGGCTCGTGGAGCTTGTCGAAGCCCGTAGAGTGCCTTGTGCAGGCGCAGTACTTTGTCATTGTTCAGGAAGCCAGGTGGTTGTCGGACATAGACGGTCTCCTTCAGCTCTCCGTTAAGGAAAGCAGACTTTACGCCCATATGGTGAACCTCCCAAGAGTAATGTGCCGCAATTGGGAAAGCAGACTTTACGCCCATATGGTGAACCTCCCAAGAGTAATGTGCCGCAATTGCCAGCAAGAAACGAACGGATTCTAACCTTGCCACTAGCGCAAATACCTCTTCGAAGTCCACTTCTTGCTTCTGGACGTAGCCCTTTGCCACCAGACGGGCCTTGTGCTTCACAACTTCTCATTTTTCGTTGCGCTTCAGTTTAAAGACCCATTTGAGCCCTATGGCTTGGTGTCCCGGCGGCATATCCTCCAGACTCCACGTCTGGTTCTCGGTGATGGATGTCATCTCCTCCTGCATTGCCTTCAGCCAGCACGGGTTCTTTTCTGCTTCGGCGAAGGTGTTCGGTTCATCTTGCACTGATGGCATGTAGTTCGGCCACTTCTTCGAGCTCGCACACTTTCAGTCGAGGTGGTTCACCTCCTCTTACTAGGTCGTCCATCCTCCGGTACCTGGCCTCCAGATCAGTATCGTGATCGGCATCCAGCGTCGAATCCGCAGTCCTTCTTCCCGCTTGGTGACAAGGTACTTCACCGTAAATTGATTTGGATTATGGTCTGGAGTGAGTGAGCCTGTCCAAGATGGGCCCCACAATGTGTGTGTTTTTTTTACACTTTGCATTTCTTCCACTCGAACTTGAGACTTGTGTGTTGTTAGGTCGATGCTCTAACCACTTAAGCTATTCAACTTGTTTGTTGATAGGTTGGCTCCTTTGCAATGATATACACCAATGGCTTCAACTTGGCTCTGATACCACTCGTTGTTTTCAGAGAAAAGGAAATTGGTTGTGGGAAGAAAAATGCGTAAAAAGAGAGAGAGAATGACTGAAATTATGATTGGGTTCTAAATCAGGTAGTTGAATATTCTGAACAAATGGCTGGAGAGTGGCCAACTAAATCCGTCTAAAATTTTGGTGATCCATTCGACGTGTTTTGTCAAATGGTCAAATGGAGATATTCTGAAATCGTGTGAATAAGGAAAAACTGTAAAAACTCAGGTTTTATCTCACAAAGGATTTATGGGAGAGAGAAAAGTGAGGGCTAAGGAAAAGGGCTTACGAGAGACAGAGAGTGAAAGGCAGTTACGGCTAAACTTACCCTAAAAAAAACTATAAGAACACTCAATTGTATTGTTGTAAAATGTGCAGAGATAAACGAACAAGAGAGAAAAGAGAAGCATAGAACAATTTATTGTCTGAGTTATTGTGTAATAACCTTTTGAGAAACTTCTTTGCCTTCTTGTCTCTCTCCCCTTCCGACACCCCTTCTAAAGTGTCGTGAGAGTTATCTAAATGAGTTAGATTCAGAGCGAGCATTTTATTTCGTGGTTGGTATCGGAGCGACTTTATATTTCAACAAGTTGGTATCAGAGCGATCTCTATTTCAACAAATTGGTATCAGAGCCGATGGCGAACGTGATGGGACAAATGCCACTTCCATGATTGACGAAGACAAACTAGTGAGCGTTTTATTTCGTGGTTGGTATCAGAGCGGCTTTATATTTCAACAAATTGGTATCAGAGTGATTTCTATTTCAACAAATTGGTATCAGAGCCGATGGCGAACGTGATGGGACAAATGCCGCTACCACGATTGACGAAGACGAACTACGAGAATTGAAGCATCCAAATGAAGGCTCTTCTCGGTTCACAAGACGCATGGGAGGTGGTCAAAGATGGTTTCGAAGAACCGATTGATACCATGGGTTATACGGTGGCACAAAGCAAGGCGCTGAAGAAATTATGGTCAAAGGATACGACAACATTATACATGCTATTTCAAGCTATTGACGAGTCAGGCTTTGAAACAAGCTGTTGGCGAGTCAGGCTTTGAAACAAGCTGTTGGCGAGTCAGGCTTTGAAACAAGCTGTTGACGACTCAGGCTTTGATACAAGCTGTTGACGAGTCAGGCTTTGAAACAAGCTGTTGACGAGTCAGACTTTGAAAAGATTGCAAGGGAAACTACTTCAAAAGAAGCATGGGACACTCTGAAAAAGGTGTTCAAAGGAATCTACTGAGTCAAGCAGGTGCATCTCCAGACT